TGGCATAACTCCAAAGTAAAGTCTTCACGTGTTGCCTCTTGATTTTGCTGATTGATGCGCTTACCTTCCTTATGAAATTTTGTTGCTACATGCTGCACTAGCTGCAGCGTTTACAAAAGCACAAAATTTTTTATAAATAACGCATTAATTTTTTGAAAATTACTTACGAATTTGTTGCATACTTTGCACTTGATTGAATTCCCACTGATCTGTAAAATTTCATCTTTAATCATATTAAGCCACTTTTGGAAAGCATAATTTTTTTTAAGATTTGACATATTTAGTTTATTTTAGGCTAAGCTATTTTAAGTACGAGTACGACTCGAATCGAATTGAAATAAATATGTTCAGCTAAAAGTTTTAAATTTTGGTCGATAGCAAAAAGCATACTCAGCGGAAATATAAATTGCAGTTAATTTTAAAGTACAGTTCAATACAGTACAGTACACAGTATACAGCCAAAATCAGTCTAAATTTATAATACTTTATTTATAGGAAATATGCGAAAAAAAGTACAACAATATGCAAAATATATGCAAAAATATGCAGTTATGCAAAAAATATGCAAACATGCAAAATATATGAAAAATGCAAAACATAATAGGACCAAATTAACTCACATTCTGCTATAAGGAGCTTCTACCCAGGTCCGGACTTTCTGTGACGCTAAACAAAAATATACACTTGCATAAGAATCCGAGCTCTAATGATTATCGTTAATCTCTTCATGATCCAATGATCGGATTTAAACCCAATTAGAATGGGACCACCTGTGAGGTAACACCTTTCCTTAAAAAAAAATTATAGAAATCGTTTAACGTGGTCCAGTTATGCGGTAACATACCTAAAAAAATATTCCGACTAATTGATAACCTTCTCCTTTTTGTGAAGTCGGTTAAAAATATAGATAGACAAAACTTCAAAATGTTGCGGTGCTATCATTTTAGGTTCTTTCCCTAACAATCCGGACCGGATCCGGTAATTAGAGAACAAGCGAAAAGTTTGGTCTCAAAAATGGCACATAATCCGGAAGTACGGGAATGAAAAAAGAGCCACATTTCGTGCCCAGAATGTGAGAAACAGCTGATTCACGTTGTTTTTGTTTTTGTCACTTAAATGCAAACTCTTGGAAATTGAATTTTGGTTTCACAAATTTGATTTCAAGTATATAAAGATTGAAAATACATCAACAGGCCATTCACTATTCCTTAAAAGCACCAAGTAAATGCAGGCAACATGTGAACACAAAACAGCTGATATGCACTTTGACACTTTATCCACTTTTACCCGGAGAAAAAGTCCGGGCTGTTTTGGGCAGGAAGAAGAAGACACTTACGATCCAATACGTTCCAATTTTCGCTCTCTATTACCCATTTTGTTGAGTACGGGAATGATTTCTGGGTTATTTTGGGCACCCGCGGGATCCGCGTTGCGTACGGGAAAGAACCTTTTGTCGCGGGCTGTAAATACTTACATATGTACATATGTATCTATAGAAAACTACAAATCTGATGCCTTCATATAGACACATTCATACCTATTGGTATAATTATTTTTGTATGTATGTGTGTATGCATTTCCGATTATTTATTAGCAAACATGACTTGTCATCAATGAATTTCTTATCACTTATTTACTCAAACCTTTCAAATCGATTTTGAGTGAAATTTTTATCTTAACCATGAGTATTTTAACATTTTGAGAGAGAGTTCGAATGTTGCTCAGTTCGGTGGTGAATTACTTAGGCAGTGTTTTGTAGGGAGCTGCTGAGCTACATATGAAGTAAGTAAATACCACCACTTTCTGCATAAAAACACTGCTATCAGTGTGGTAATCACGCATCCCTCACTTTAATGAAAAGTACCAACTGCTGGGCTAAAGCTTATCACCCAGCCCGGCACTGTCGCGTTTGCGAGGGGTTGAATGGGTTTGTTTACTACAACTAAAATTCAGTACCAAACACGGCGCCTTGTTGATAGAACACTTCAACGGTATATTTGCGGCAATCGAATTGTGCGCGATTAAAAACGGCATTATTTATTTAAAATTTTTTTTCGCGGCATTTTTACGAAATCCTGTGATAAGTCAAAATTGTCTGGTTATTAAAATGTAAGTTTTGTGAAATAAATGCTTGTTTTTTTATAAATTTTGCAAGCGCACATATAGTTCGTATAATGATGAATATACATACATACGTTAATATATGGTAAAACATTTTTTACAAAAGTTATTCCGTTTTGAAAGATGAGTATTTTGCGTTGTGGTTTTGGCGCAAGACCATTTATGACCTGTCAAAAATACCAAATTTATTATTGTCATATTTCTAATATTTTTATTGATTTTGAAAAATTCTCTACATTAAAAGAAGCGCTAGTTCTACAGACGATGCAAATTTTATGGAACCTCGTTTACTTTTGTATTGAATAGTTCATATTTTTATGACACTCGAGCCGAACGAAAATAATAAAAATGTAAATGTTCATCATACGCCCGCTACCACTTTCATATGCACTACATATGAATGTACGTGTGCTTAAGTACTAGGGTGGCTAATTTTTTCGATATTTGCGATCCCGGGATTTTCGGGATGTCGTTGGTTCAATCCCGGGATCCCGGGATCAGTGCCGGGATTTAGATATTTATTATTTTTCAATGACTTAACATGAAAGAATTGCATCAATATGGTTTGAGAAGCTCTCCTACCATATAATAAATAATAAGTAAATGGGTTTGGAACGTACTTTTTTATTTAAAGTGAAAATTATTTCATAAGTAACAAAACGACAGACAGTAATTAAACTTATATGCATTTAAAAATACTTTAGTGTGTACATATCTGATAAAGTAATTTGAAGTATGTAGAAAAAGCTCGATGCAAAAAAAAAATAAGTAAAAAAATGTATTTTCTGGTTGAAAGAAGTTCATAATTTTAGTGGTAGAAATAAAAGAAGCGCCTTAATTCGACCAGTTTTGTCTATATTCTTTTTGTTTATCCAAAATTTACATTTTTTATAAAAGTCTACGTCATATTACACTTAACTTTGACGTCATGATTTTTTTTTAAGATTTTAACGAGCCCTAACCGCCAAAATAAAGTAAGCGAAATTTTTTTTCAAAATTTTCTTTTTGATGCAGATGCATTTTTGCATCAAAACGAAAATTTTGAAAAAAATGTCGCTTACGTTATTTTGGCAGTTAGGGATCGTTCTAATTTCAAAGAAATGGTTGATTCCAAAATTTATTTAAAAAAATTCAGTGCAATGTAAAACAAAAGTATGGGTACAAAATGAAATAATTTTTTTTTGGGTTCACAAGGATGAATAGGAATTGAAAATTCCCCTTTAATCTATTTTATTCTTCTAAGATAATAAAGTTAGTCCTTAACATATAACTTTTTCAAAAATAAGAATTGAAAAATTTCAAGGATATTCAAGGATAAAATTATAAAAGGGTATTTTCAATACCTACCCGTCCATTACGGAACAAAAATTTTAATGTGTGTTTAACTCTACAGAATCTTCTCTTTCATTTGATACCTATACTGGTTTCTTAAATATATTGCACTGAAATTTTTAAATCAGTTTTTAATTACTCATATCTTTCAAATTTCAAAGTTCTTTTTAAAAATCCTGACGTCAGAGAGAAAAATGAAGAACGCAATTTTACTATATTTGGCCATTGGTTTGACGAATATATTGATTTTTTTTTGTGTGCAAAATTGCCTGCCGCAAGGTATTATATGTACGTATATTAAAGTGGTCCAAAAATGTATGTAAAAAAATAAGGTCGGCTTTTTAATGCCGCCACCCCCTAGGATTGTTATATACCGAAAAAATATACCCCTCCTTTTTTATTTTGAAACAAAAAAAATTTAAGGAGTGCTCAAAGCGCTCAAAGTTTTCCATGTATTTTATATGGGGAAAAACAACTTTTCTTAGAAATAGTGTAGAATTCTTGAAAATCGATATTTTTCGATAGGAAAACTTTGCTTATCTTCAGCAGATTCCCGGCAATAATACGCAATTGTTTCTTTTAAAATTTCTTTCATGATAACTATATTTTAAGGCCCTCCAAAGCCCTTAGAAAATGCATTGAGTGGACCAATAAAAAATGGTTAAATAAACAATTGGATATTAATACTGGAAGTCTCCTGAAGAGAACCACAGTTTTCCGATCGAAAAATTTGATTTTCAAGAGTTTATACCATTTCTACGAAAATTTGTTTTTTCTCTATATAAAACACATGGAAAACTTTGAGCGCTTTGACTACTCCCTAAATATTTTCTGATTTCAAAATAAAAAAAATTCGGGTATATTTTTTCGATATAGAACAATCATAGGGGGGCCGGCATTAAAACTCCGACTTTATTTTTTTGGACCACTCTAATGTATATGTATATTGAGCTACCCATTTATAACAAAATGTTAAATATTAAATAAACAAAAGAAATATAGCCAAAACTGGTCAACATAAAACGTTCTTTTACTGCCACCAGTGTAAATTACAAATTTAAAAAAGACCGGGATCCAGGGATTATTTATTTATTTATTTATTACAGTCATTTGACCTATATACATTCACGTATATACATTTGAATTATGCATTGCAATATATAATTAAAGTAAAGTTAAATTTAATGCTTAAAATAAGTTAACCTGATACACTTTTCCTTCTAAGCTATATAATAGTATGTATATTTAACTAAAATAGCATATTCTCGATGCTTTTGGAATGGACGGGATTCTAAGCGGTACCGTAAATATATCACGTACGAGATGCGGTCTAAGAGTGTAGTTTCCAGAGCCGCTACAACTGAGCGGTTGGAAAGGACTAGTTTCCAAGCCGCTTCTTATAAACTTCTCTACCGGCAGGCGATCTGAATGGACGAAATCCAGAGTCGCGCTATTTGATCGGACGGAAATGACTAGTTTCTATGCCGACCTTCTTATTTCATACATTATGGGTGATCTGAATGGACTAAATCCAGAATCCAGCTAGTACGGATGGAAAGGACTAGTTTCCATGCCGGACCTTTCTATCTGATATCCAATGTTCTACAGTGATCAAGTAGCAGCCTTTTGAAGGTACCAACGTTTTCGCAATTTTGTATTTGAGCTGGAAGTTCATTATAACATTTTAATCCCTTATAAAAGATATTCTTCTTATCTATTTCCGTTTTATACAGCGGCAGCCTGAAACTATTATTTCCCCTGAGTAAATACGAATGGGTTTCACTATTATATCTTAGGATATCACTCAGATAATCTGGGAGTCTACCTTGTTTTATGTTAAACACGAATTTCATAGCGTGATAGAAAATTTGCTGTTTCACGCTCAGCCAGTTTAATTCTGCGATCATTTCCTGTATGGGTGTGTCGCACCGCTTGTTCAAGATAAATCGCATAGCCCTATTTTGCATTTTTTGAAGCTTATCTATTTGTGTGTCGCTTGCTATAAAAATGATTGTTGGACAGTATATGAAATGTGGGTCATCTATAGATCTGTAGACCAGAGGCTTATACCTCCTTCCTAAGTACTTACATGATCTTTTCATGAGACCAATTTTTTTACCAATTTTTGCTACTGTGTAGTCAATATGTTCCTCAAATTTTAACTTATCATCGATATATATACCTAGATATTTAATGATTCTCACTTTCTCAATTACTTCACCTTTAATTTTTAAAATGTAATTATCGGAGCTAACGGATATGACCATAAACTTTGTCTTGTTCACATTTGATAGCAGTCTGTTTACGCACAACCATTTATACAAACAATGAAGGTCTTCTTGCATTTTAATCATTGCATTGGGTAGATTACAGTCACTGAGGGTTAAGAGGGTATCGTCGGCGAACAATTTTACCTTACAATACTTCAATGCTGAGTTTATGTCGTTGATATAAATATTAAAGAGTATTGGAGCTAACACCGACCCTTGTGGTAGACCAATATCTACTGCCACCTTTGTGGATAGAGCTTTGCCAATCACCGTTTGTTGCTTCCTATTAGAAAGAAAACTACGGAACCATGTAAGTTCGATGTTATCTATACCAATATATTCGAGTTTTTTTTAGCATTATTTCCCTGTCGATTGTCTCGAAGGCTCTCTTAAGGTCCACAAAAACCGCCAAGATAGTTTTCTTGGAGTTCAGGTCCTCCTTCCATTGTGATAAGATCAAGTTTAGAGCTGTTTCGCATGAGTGGTTAGTCCTAAAACCTGACTGCTCCTTAATGAGTATTTTATTTGACTCAATATAGTTTAATAGTTGATTTTTTACAACCGTTTCCAGTATTTTTTCTAAGTTGGGAAGGGTGTTTATTGGCCTGAGCTCCTCCGATTTTATGGTGTTTTTGACCTTTTTTATAGGGACAATGGTCGAAGTTTTCCATTCTGTCGGAACTATTCCCAACTGAAGGCTCTTATTTAATAATAGGGCGTAAAAGTCTTTGATTACACCCTCGGATAATAAATAATTTCCACCAATTTTTATCTTGAACTTCTTTACTATATGGATAATATCATCTGTACTAATCTCACAAAATTTAAAGGTCCCTTGACCATTTTCCTGTTGCATNACTGAAGGCTCTTATTTAATAATAGGGCGTAAAAGTCTTTGATTACACCCTCGGATAATAAATAATTTCCACCAATTTTTATCTTGAACTTCTTTACTATATGGATAATATCATCTGTACTAATCTCACAAAATTTAAAGGTCCCTTGACCATTTTCCTGCTGCATCGATTTCAGTACTATTGCTATATATTTTACCGTTGATTCGAACCTCTTTGATATTTTCTTTGTGATTCGCATTATTGACAATATTCTTCAAATGTTTCCACATTAAACGACTGTCAACCTCTATTAATTTCCACCTTGTATTCCATATATTGGATTTTTTTAATTCTAATCATTTTTTTATACGTTTTCTTTATTTCATTGTATTCTACCCAATCACCAGTGATCACTGCCCTTTGGTATAACTTGAATTTTTCTTTATTAGTTTCAGTCAATTGTCTGTCATACCAATTATTTCGGATTTTGACCCGCTTTTGTACACGAGAAGTTAGTTTTTTCATACTCGAAACCATCAGACTATTCAGGTCAGCGAAGGTGCATTGTCGCAAAAGATTTATAAGGTTGTCTGGGCTGTACCCATCCCACGAAGTTATTTCAGACAGTTTACTGTTAGGGCCTTGTTTTTTTATATCGCATTTGAACATTATAGTTTCATGATCCGATATTCTATGTTCCTCCGCTTTTTCACATGACACTTCCTTAGCGTTCGAGTACAATAAATCGATCAGTGTTTCGGAATATTCAGTAACCCTAGTATTAAAGTTAATTAACTGTTTCATTGCCTGATGGGCGAATATCTCATTAAGTTTCTTACTATATGTCGACATTATATTCAGTCCTATAATAATGGTATTTACATTGTTATCGCATATTTCCGACAAAATGGTCTCCATATATGCTAGAAAATCAGCATCACTTGAACTAGGTGAGTGATAAACCACCCCGATTTTCCATTTGGTTTCGAGATTTTTCAGTTGGATAACTACACATCAAAAATTTTTATCGATAGATTTGTTTAGTATTATTTTAAAATCTAGTGCGTTACCCAATATTATGATTACCCCTCCTGTATGCCTACTGTACGAGTCACATCTTACAACTTGATATGTAGGAAACTGTATTTCATAGTCATATATTTCCCCTGTTGTACAAGTTTCGGAACATAGAACTATATCCGGATCAACAATTTCAATTAGCCTTTCAAGTTCTATTTTATTAGCTACTATACTACTTATGTTAAGATATGCCACGGTTCCTATTAACTGACTGTAATTGTTAATAGCTGGCTCTATTTCTCTTATGCTCTAGTTTCTTCATGTATACAGGACACTGTCGGTTAGTTGTCAAGTGGTTCACGTCGAGCCCTAGATTAAATTCTTTGTTTGCACGAATGCAGTTGATACACTTCTTTATTTGCTCCTTTGTGCACTCCATTGTTTTATGATTACCCAAGCACTTCAGGCAGACCTCTTCATCCTTGCACTTCGTAGCTATATGATTGAAGCCCTTACATTTGTAGCATTCCTATAAAGTACATATGCACATACATATGTAGGCATTTACTTTTATACATATGTACGCCTAATCTATGATCAATGCATCGATATTTAAATTTTATAGAAAATTTTAGTAAGTTCAGAGACGTTGGAGCAGCATCATAAACCAACTGAATATCCATAAAGCTTTTTATACGGGAATGCCAAATATTATTCGCAAGTTTTAAAGCCCATTGATAACAAATTTAGAAAGAAGCAGTGGAAACATATTTATTGTGTTCAAAATACGAGTAAGTACTTAATTTGAAATAAAACAAGTAAGAAAGTCTAAGTTCGGGCGGAGCCGAACATTAAATACCCGGCGAAAATATTAAATATATGTTTTTTCAACTTTCCGAAAGCTACCGCTACATGGTAATTTTGAGTAAATTAGCGTCTTTAAATTTCGAAATATTGAAGTTTCAAGCATTTCTGAAATTTACCGTTATATGAAAAGCGGCCGTAATTTTAGTCACATTTCAATAATTTTCAACGTTTTGCTTTCATGTGGCAAGCAAAATAACCATACCGAGTTTGGTACAAATTGGTATAACGGTTACCGAGATACATATATGTGATCATAAGTGGGCGGTGCCACGCCCACTTTCCAAAATTTTATCATAAATATATTTCTTGGTAAAGAATTGTTGCAAGCATCAATTTTGAATAAATTAGCTTTAATATTTACTGATTTATCGAAGATTTTGTATTTCTCTAAATTACCGTTATATGGGATGTGGGCGTGGTTATTGTCCGATTTTAAAAATTTTCGGCGATTTGGTATGCTGTACCAAGGCCAACAACTGTACCAAGTTTGGAAGAAATTGGTGCAGCGGTTATCAAGATATATACATGTAACCATAAGTGTGCGTGGCTACGCCCATTTTCCAAAAATTTATAATACTCTTATTTTTCGTCTGAAAATTATTGTAAATATCAATTTTGAGTGAATAAGCTTCGGTAGTTACTAAAATATCGCAGTTTTCGTATTTCTGGAAATTACCGTTATATGGGAAGTGGGCGTGGTTACAGTCCGATTTCGCCCATTTTCAATACCAACCTACCTTGGATAAATGGAAACCTACATACCAAATTTCGTTGAGATATCTCAATTTTTGCTCGAGTTATCGTGTACATGGACGGACGGACAGACAGACATAGCTTAATCGACTTCTCTATTCATTCTGATTATGTATACATTTGTCTATATCTATCATGATTCGTTTTGGCTGTTACAAACAACCGTTATTTGAACAAAGTTAATATACCCTTGTGCACAAGTGCACTCGGGTATAAAAAAACGTAATACCAGTCTTTTATTGATTTGGTTCCACAGCAATTAAATTTTTGGGCCAATGCGAAAGTCAGCGATATTTTAATTTTGATATAGAAATGCTCTTAGAGCATCTATGTCGATGTCTTTGGTGAAGAAAAGAGTGTGAAGATATTTATGTAGCCACTTCGGGGTTTTTAAACAAAGGGATCAAAACAAAATCTATTTCTCGGAAATTTTTTAAACAATGCATTTTTTAGCATTTAAAAAAATGCTGAAGTGGTATATAACNCTTCGGGGTTTTTAAACAAAGGGATCAAAACAAAATCTATTTCTCGGAAAATTTTTAAACAATGCATTTTTTAGCATTTAAAAAAATGCTGAAGTGGTATATATTTATGACTGAATGAGTGTCTACAAATGAAAAATTTTACTTCCATTGGGATAGATACCTTTCTTCCGTGATTTTATTTAAATCTAATTCTTTCAATGCTCAAAATAAGTGGACTTTAATATATATTTTTTTATTTCTAGATATACATATATACAACCATATATATCGATGGTCCTGTGCAATAACGACACAATTCAAAAAAACAAAAACTTTCTACTGTTAAATGGCTCTTGTCTCTAATACATTTCCATCCCTCACTTAAGTAAGCAGTAAGGATTGCTAAAGTAAGTACAAAAGATTAGACATCGATTCGACAAGGATTAAAGACATGAGCCACTTAACAGTAGTAAGGGATTTAATTTTTTTAATTTTAATAAAANTTAGACATCGATTCGACAAGGATTAAAGACATGAGCCACTTAACAGTAGTCAGGGATTTAATTTTTTTAATTTTAATAAAAAATTATTTTAATTAAAAATAAAGAAGATGTGCTCACTTAAACTTCATAAGTTAAGGACAAGAAAAGGCACTCAATTCCCTTTAAATGATGAATATTTCTCGCTAAAAAATGTACTATTACTACTACAATTTTGACTTTTATTCAATGAATTTTGCTTTATCAGAACTAGCAACTTATCGTTTCATTGTTACCTCTTCTGCAGACTTAATTCCAGGTACATTGGTAACGCTGTCGATGTATTAACCAATTCAGCAATGAATTCTAATTGAAATGTTGGTACTGGTTATATCCCATATATACTCGTACATACTTGTTATAAGAATGTTCTCTATGCGAAAAGGATTTACAAATTGATGGAAACTTTATTTTATAATTGTGGGGTGCGTCCTAACGCTATAACGGGGGCTGAAAAATAAGCAAAAAAAAGTAATTTTAAGCGCTTATGTAAGCACTAAAACATCGGTAAATAGGCCTG